TTTGATTCTAACGAAAAAATCTCATTAAGTGACGTATTGCTTATGACATAATTAGTATTATACATATATAGATCTTCATAGGACTAACACGGTGCAAATTTATCCATTTATTTTAGCGCTTACACATACACTGAAGAAGAAAACTGAATGTTTACTAATTGAAGACAACTTATTGTCACATAGAGAACTATAGCTCATGTCATACTATTAGGAATAGTAAAAAGATTATCAAGTATCTATGGTAAACGTTTATGTAAATGATTTAATCAATAGTGGAGTCTGGATTTTAGACTGAATGAAAGGCTCAACTTGCCTTCCCCTTACGGACTTTTGAGTCCCTTGACAAGATTTTTGAAAGATGTGTTTTTTTTCTGATACAAAAATATATTAGTCTTTGCAATAAAACATTTTAACACATATATCTTGTTTTGTACAACTTACATGGATTTTCGAAGAAAAGAACATACAGTAAATATAAGTTTCAATTTGATTTTAAAGGTTATAACTCTTAATTATTTGAGAAAAGGCACATCTGTTAATAATCTCGCAAGGGATGCTCAAAGGTACGTAGAGAAGAGCTGAGCTGCCTCTAGCTGAGACAGTGGATTTAATGCATACTGAAAACTAGCCAGACATAAATAGAGTTTTAATTGTATATCTCGAAAAAAACAAAGTTCTAATTAAGTCAATATAATTGTAGTAATAAACTTGTGCATGTCCCCAATCGTAGTTATTTCCTATTTAAAAAGAAGCTTTGTGAATATTTAAATATATGTTCTCGTATACTACACAGCTAATATTTATCTTTTTAGTACTATTATTGAGAATGGATCTTCTGCAACAGTTGAACCTGAATCTTCAATCAATGACGAATCAGATATCTCATTAAATCGAACTCTAGTCAATCGACGTAACTCAAAAAAATCTCTTTCACATAATTTATTACCAGTATTTAAACGTAAAACTTCCATTCGATCAAATTCATCATCATCATCATCATCATCATCATCATCATCATCATCATTATCATCTTCATTATCAACAAAATCAATAATTTCTTCATCATTACCATTATCAACTAATACAAATTCATCATCAATTGTTAAACCATCTCATATTGAAATACCTCATTCATTAGTTGATGTTGTTGTTAATTGGAATTTACCAATGCATTATTGGTTAAAAATTTATGTTTATATTCCAATAAAACAACAATATGGTCATTTTTTATCAATTCTTATTACTTATCTTGCATCAGCACTTTTACATGGTTTCAATTTTCAATTATCAATTGTTTTATTTTCAATTGGTTTATTTGCATATGTTGAATATGGTTTTCGACGTAAATTAGCTAATATTCTTGATGCATGTGTTGCGGCACGTACATGTCCATTACGTTCATCATGTGAAAAACATACATATACATATTGGCATCCATTGACAATAATTGTTAATGTATTTTTATGTCTTCTCAGTTTGTGGCATCTCACCTATTTGGGACAATTATTTGATGGAAGTTCACAAGAAACAATTGGTTATTCATGGCAACATGTTCTTGATAAATGGTCAAGACTTAATTTTGCTTCACATCTGGTTGTTATTGGTACTTATGCTATATTTCGATCATTATAAATCTCATTTAAATGTCTAGTCATTTTGTTGTGTATATGTCTATAGAAATTGTTAATTAAAAAAACAAAAAATTAAAAATTCTTTTCGTTTTTTTTTTGTTCTCATTCCAGTGCATTACATGTATTATTATGTGTTAGTATTTAATGTGTTGTGAAAAAAAAAATAGAATATTGTATTTTTTCTCTTTTTTCTTTGGTTTAACAACTAAAATAAACGAAGAATATCATTCTTTTTTTTCCTGACTTATTTCAGATCTTTGAGTTTAAGGATAAACAAATATAAGACATATTAATTCGGTGAGAATTTTGTTTTAGTTTTATGTTGGTATAAGTAATTGTTATCATTTTGATTGAATAAAATATGTCCTTGTATCATCTTGAATAAATATTGTAAAATGTATGCTTGATTATCTGCACACTATACAACAGCTGGTCTTCGTTTTTTTTCTTACACATCCGATTTAATTCATTATAGTATGATAATCATTATACTAAATGAAACATTATTGATTATTTATCTTTTATATGAAAGAAATTTTCTCTAGTTCGATTATTATTTGTCACCATTATTGTTACTATTGTGTAATCAATTGAATATAGTTATAGAATATTTTCCTTCTTGTTCTTGTACAAATAAGAAAATTTTCTGCTATTTACATAAATTATTATTTTCTTGACTTAGAGTTCTTATATGTTCTCAATATAGTTGGTAACTTTTTATCATTTGTGGATCTCTCATTGAATAACAAATAAACAATCATCTTAACGATTAGCTCCTCGTTTATTCTTTGTATACACATGAGTGTGACATTGTATTCTTCACTTCTGTGTGTATGTCTAGACTTGATTGTCGAGAGTAGTATGTTTGTACATATATAGAAGGAGAAAAAACGATAGAAAAGAATATAAAAAGGAACATAATAATGTTCAGTACGATCGATTGTAGATTACATAGATAAAGTATTCACTCAACATGATTGTTATGCATCCTATTATCATAATAATCAAGAGGCGCACATCATCAATCAAGCTTAAATGAAAATTTTTTTTTTGAATTTATTCATGTTCCATTCGATGGTTGACCGAACTCTTGACACATGAAGTGTATAAGAGAGACATATACATAATCCTTAAATATACATTGGATATTGTTCGGTCAACGGTAGATAATTATTGTTCCCTTTTCTTTTTTTTTCCTCTTTTGCTTCTTCATAATATTCTTTGGTAAGTATCATAAATTTACATCGAATGAGTTTTTTTTTAGTGGTCAATTTTTGTACATATTCATCATAAGTTTAATCGGTAGTTTCAACTATGTTTTGTTGTTGTTATTGAAAGGCGGAGAAAGACAAATGTAAAAAAATGAATTCAATAGGATGAGTTGACCTTGCTTAAACGTTCTTTCAACATGGTGACCGATTTAAATAAAATAAGGAAGAAGAGCAAATGAACAGAAAGGACCAACCTTCATTCTATTCTTCATATAGTGAACACGCTAAAGACAGTTAGAGAAAGAACGAGAGAAAAGAACGGCAGCATGTTTGCTCGTTCATTCGTTGACAATATATATATATATATATGAAAGAAGACAGACTACTACATAGCACACGCACACTGAAACATTCTCATCGACATTAGAGTATTATTCATATACGCACAAAAGAAGTGAGTAAAAAGAGGCCGGCAACGGTCATATGAGAAACGGAGATGAAACTGTTTGCGCGACATATTACTCAGGAAATTGAAATATAGTAGTGTCAACCAACTGTAAAATAGAATGCATGCGTGTATATAAATCGATCTCTTCCTTTTTTTTCTAATGTTTTTTGCCGAGTTGTATGATGAGTAGACAGTTGCTAGAATGAGAATTGCCAAAAAAAATAAAGTTATTTTCGTTTATTATATTAAATAATACATTATCCTAAACATATCATTTAATAAATTATTTTCTTATATTCAAAATTGAAGTCTCCGTTGAACTTCTCGTTATATGATACCCTATCTATGTATGCACGAATGCATATTTCATCAATATTGTTGTTCTAGTCGATAGGGCCAATCTTTTACACATATACATATACTCTATATATATACGTATGTATGTATGAATGAAAGAAATGTGAAGCTTTCTAAGAGTCTAATAACTGCAGGAAGAAAACATAAAACAAGCGTTGTCATAAGTATATTGATTAAATCTTGCTTTGATGATGTCAATGAATAGAAAAAGGCTGAAATTCCACCTAGTGCCAATAGTTAGTGAACTGACGAGCTAAACGATGATGTAATTGTCCTACCACACCCATATATGTACATATATACACAGCTGTCTATCACTTGAATTGACATTTTGTCTCATACTCTTATTCTATCATATACGCATGTCTAATTTTCTCTCTTTTTCCTCTCTTCTCTCTGTCTTTCTCAAATTGCAGAGATACATGACGTAACATAGTCCCGTTCTCGACCTCTTTCCCTCTTTTTTTTTTGAATAACGGATGTCGAGTAGGCTACTAGCAGACGCGGCGGCGAACAAACAGAAATTAAGATAGATGATCATCCTACATAGCACAACGGCTCTTTTTTTTTTTTACTGTAGACTTGTCAGCAATACAATTAACTTCGTTTCGTCTAATAGTTATAAAACATATGTTGCTTAGGCTCGATGCGCACATAGATGCTTAGTATTTCTTATGTGAGTAAATGTATGGTCAGCGTATGAGAAACGAACATATACACTAAAATAGAAACAAAAGAATTCAAGGACAGAACGTGTATGCGTGCAAAAAAAATGAGATTACGATCATCGAGTAAACGAATGATCGAACGAGAAATGGGTGGAGCAGATGAAAAGTGAATGCACGCATCGAGTATAGTCGCCGTCACGATTTTTTTGATGTTCAATGACCATAATTTTTTTTTTCTGTTTCTTCCCTGAGAATAGAGACAGTCGGAGAAGCCGCATTTTCTTTTTCTCTTGACTCTTCTCTAAGTTTTTTTTTCTTTTTCTTTGTCTTTCTCTCTCTCTCTCTCTCTAGATAGATATCAAGCGTTCGACAAGCAGACACAAGAATACTCGTTTTCTTCTTTCTTTTCTTCTCTCTCTCTCTCTCTCTCTCTCTCTCTTCTATTCCAACAACAACGACGACGACGACGACGACTACTGCTAATACTCTTCATACTACTATTAATGGATTTCATTTGTTGTTCGTGGTCGAATAATCGTGACATCGCCAAGAGATGAACATTTGTTTTTAACTGACAAAACTGATAATGGCAAATCAATATAAGCAATATTCGCGATCACATTATCCATACTCTATACTTACATTGTCATGTTTGATCACTTTCATCATATTTATTCAAGGTCCAATGATTATCATTGCTCAACCAAACCAAGTACGTTATTATTATCGTTGTTCTTTCCGGAGGCATTTCTAATGATAAGCATGTCTATTTTTACACGAAATCTAGCATGATCAAATAGGATTAATTAATATCGTTCAATGAGAATTTACCATAATAAACTTCATGTTTTTGTTTTTTTTAGTTTTACGAAAAAAACAAAGGCCTCTAACAGAAGTTTTTATTTATTTTTTTCTAGTATCAATCGGTGATTGGATCAAATAATAATGTTCGCTCAAGTGCTGCAGTTACCAATAATGATGATTTGTCTTATGGTAGTAAGAATTATAAATAACAAAAAAAAACAGAAGCAAATTAATCTCTTTTTTTTTATTTCATCTGGATCAGATATCTATGATGATGCTGACGAGACGGACGATACTCCTTCACCATCATCAATACAACCTACTACAAACTTCAAATCTACTTCTAATAAAACATCACAGCGCGACATAGACAATGAAGGATTTGACAATAATGAATATGAAGATGAACCAGAAGCATATCAAAATGCTTTAAATGATGATAATACTTATGATGAAACAACTAAACAAGATGGATTACAATTATTTAGTGATACAATATCTATGAATAAACCTGATATAAAACCTCCCGTTATTGATTCTAATAATAATAAAAAAAATCTTGATCAAACATCTACATCTCGAATGCCATTTGTACCAGCAAATATTTGGCGTGATCTTTTTTCTAGGCCAGGAATTCTTGTTGGTCAGTTTACCTTTTGGCGGATTATTTTTTTTTTGTTTTTAAATAATTTTATCGTTTTAATTTAGGTATTATTGGTGGAATTGTCATTGGTATGTTATCCGCTATATTACTTGTGATGTTTATTATCTATCGAATGCGTAAAAAAGATGAAGGTTCATATGCATTAGAAGAAGGACCACGAAAATCACCATCACATGCATATACACGTGTATCATCAAGAGAGTTTTTTGCTTGAAAAAAAAGAATTTGTCTGATATAAATGAAAAATATTAAGAAAAATTTTTTAGTTGCATATATCAGCGTTGAATTCAAATTCATTCCGCATAATTAATTATTTTTTATCAGACATTTTGTTTTCTGTTTTTTTTTCTTTCCTTTTCTTTTCTTATTGTATTTGTAATTACCGTGGTCTTGAACAAAGAAACAAAATGTTATTAATCTCCTTTTTGTTTTTCGTTTGTTCTCTCTGTAATATAAAAATTTTATTGATTAATACCAGAATATTTTTTACCTAAAAACCAAAATATTGGAATGAATATAAGTATAGAAAAGATCAAAATAAAAAATGGTTGAAGAACATTTTTTATTGTACCAAGTTTTAATTTATAACGTTTAATAATATAATTTGTTTGATTATTTTGACAAATATATTCTCCTTCATCGAAAAATGTTAAATGATCAATAATTAATTGTACATTATCAAATGAATATTTTATTTCATATTTATTTGTATTAGCTATAATTGATTGATTATTTGGTCCATACCAATGACCATTTGGAATGGGACAATGCATTGAATACCGAGTCTTTTCACCACGAATGACATATTGAGTATGAATAATTATTATTGATAGGAAAATGACGAAAAGAACAGGAAGTAAATGCATATTCTCAAAGATGCGCTTTTTTTTTGTTGTAAAATTATAATGAAATAAAAGCATGATTTTGTTACTAACTCTTTTTGATTAAATGACATATATGATTAAAGCACGTATTGGATTATGAAAAGCTTTTGTAAATAAGTTTATCATCAAAGTACAAAGATTAAACATTGGCAAATGATAAAGTTTTGTTCAATAAATAAAACAAATGTATTTTAAATAAATAGAAAGCTATTTCCACCTAAGAAATAAAGAATGATGAATGGGTAATGGCCTAGATTTTGTTATGAATAGCAAGATTTGTTTAGCCTTATAAGTTATTATGATTATTAATGATATGTAATAATGAAAAGCGTCTATTGCTTTAGTTTTGTATTCTTGATTCTATTTTTAACAGTATAATAGAAACAAATGATGGAATTATTTTAATAAATAATCGAAATTTTATTTTTTTTTTATTACATAGAAATCATATATTGACACTAATTTTTCAGTTTCACTTCTACTTAAATAAACTCAAAAAAAAAATTTTGATACAATACTAACATAGATGTTCCAATTAAAGACTTATTTTAGTAGTTTTTGTTTTGTTACTGAATGTATCACATAGTGGAAAATTTCATTCAATAATAATAATAATCTATTATAGATGTTGTAGAAATGTAATTCTCACATATGTGAAATGAATTCCCATTAATAAGAGTTATATTTAGTTGATGTATTATTCCCTAAAGAAATACAATGAAACTAAAAAAAAGAGAATTATTACATACAAATCATAACTTGCTAGATATTTTATTATTAATGATATATTGATGATCGATGGCATACTTTTTATAATATAAATATATTCAAGTTTTGTGGTTTTTGAATTATTTATTTATTGGAAAAAAAAGAAAGCAAATCTTTAAAAATGACATAGAAATTTTTCTTTTTCTTTGCATTATGTAGAAAATTGTTCTTTATTATCAATTGATGAATATGATCGTTGTCGTTGTTGAAATTTTTCATTTGTTGGTTTTATTTTGATAACAGTAGCATATTCATCTGTATTTATTAATTGTTTTGTTGATTGATAGCCACTATCAAGTGTAATTGATTCATTTGTTTCAGTTGGACTTGATGGTATAGTTGAATCTTTTTCATATGATGTTATTTTATTTATATTTGTACTACCAAATTTTTCTTTTGCAAATGAATCAAGTACTTGAATAAAATCACGTAAATTTTCATTTGTTGAAAGTTTATCAGTATCATCATAAATTTTTCTTGATGATTCATATGGAATATTGATATCGTGTTGACGTTTTAATGTTAATGTTGCATAAGTTTGTTGATGATGATTAGAATTTTTATTTAAATATGGTGAACCAATATGACGTGTTTGTCGACGTATACGTGTACGTGGTGTTTCAGAATCACTAAATATAACATTGGTTGATGGTTTTCGATTAATATAACGAACAGAATGTGGTGTATCTGTTGGTAAATATGAGAGACCTGTACATATACTTGTTATTGATCGATTACTAGCCATAAATGGTGAATGTTTTAATGGTGTTCGATGAAGAGAAATAGGCGTTGAAAGAAGATTTTGATTATTTGAATTATATTGTGTTATAAATTTTGTTCGATCAAATTCAATATCAGTTGGATTAATTGTTACTTGTGGTTGATGTATTTTTGAATGATTAATAATAGTTAATTCATGAGATTTTCGACGATGACGATGATTTTTATTTCTAAATTAAATTTTTAGAACAAAATTTTTCAAAGATTTTTTTTTTTTGTTTCCTTTTTTGAAAAATTTTTTACCTGAATAAACATGATATAATTATACATAAAATAAATAAGAGAAATGTTATTGTTGTTATACTAAAAAAAGTCGTTGGTGAAATAGGATCTATAAAATAAAGAAGAATTATATATACAATTTAAGAACTATATCGATTTACGAACCTGTTTCATATGATAATGTACGATTATATAAATGTGTATCTTGATATTTATAATCATATATTGAACAATCTTTTCCTTTCCATGATGGATTACAATAACATAAACCCATTGAAGTACATACCTACAAAAAGAAAATAATATGAATATTTTATTAAGAAATAAGAAGATTTAAATGAGTTATTTTGTTTTTAACAATAAAAATTTAATATTTAATAACTTACACCATTTCCTGAACATGTTTTTTGTGAATTACATGTTTGTTTTAATTTTTGTTGTATACATGTATTATTCTGACAAAAACTTGATTCATCACATATACCACCATCGTTAACTAATACTGAATGAATTGGACTTGATATGCTTCTAATATATAAAAACAAAAAATACATATAAATATGTTTTCTTTTTTTTTTCTATTTTAATCTTTTTTCCTTACTTGCATTCAAATGAACCTTCACGTGTATTAACATTAAAAATCATAAAATTTGAAGATGCTACTCGAGGATAAGGCATACCACCTTCGCAATGTAATAGACCACATTTGACATCACTAAATATAAATTTTAGTTTTGAATCAAAAGAAAAAATTGACAATGAATTGATGGAGACAAGCCAAGTCTACTTCTTCGTGGTGTTTCCTAAGTTATTCCAACAAGCTTCTGCAAACCTCTCATGATGCACACAACAAAAGTTCTTTGTAGATTGCTCGGAAGTAAGATATCAGAGAACGTTCCTGAAGCTAGACTTGAGAGGTGGAGTTCATATACGAGAATCTAGTGGTCAATTGACCACGGGGATCATGATGGATGACGCGATGCCTCAGCAGCACGTTGTGTAGAAATGAATATTGGAATCGACAACATCAATGCAAGATGCGGCGAAAGATCAAAACGGATGGAAATTAACTGAAACTCAGACTCGAAAGGACCATGATAAAGAAAATGAAATAAATCTTACTTATCAAAACAAGGTATATATTTATGTAAACGAGAATCATAACCACAATGACCAGTCATTGAACCTGATGGATTAAAATTTGTGTAACATGAATCATGTGCTACGTTCGCACCTATTTAAACCATTAAAATTAAAAGAAAAAAATAATAAAATTAATTTTATTTAAAAAATTTACCTGGTCCCCAAAGATCAATACATTGTTGTTGTGCACCAACACATATCCCATGAAAACATGTACCAATATTCTCATTACATGATGAACCATCCATAAAGCTACTGTCTTCAGGACACTAAAAGCAAATAATAAAATAATATGTATATATATATATATATATATATTATGTTGTTTTGAAATACCTGAGGAGAAATACCATCGCAATATTCTGGTACATCACATGTATTTCGAGATGCTCGACATGTATAACCTGATGGAAGTAATTTACAACCAGAACAACAGGCACCAGATAAACATTCAGCTCCAGAATAGAATTGACATGTTCGAGGATTGCAACATGCTTCCACTGATATACAACTCTATTTAAAAGATGAAAACAAAAGTGTTCGATTTTTTTCCTATTCAATGTCTTTGTCGCTTTATTTATAGCGAAACGAATTTATTAAATAAAAATTCTAACTCTTTAAAACATTGATATACTATATAATGGGTTATCAAAAAAGTAAATTTACAAAATGTACATTCATTTTTATTTTCATCAAATTAATTTTCCATGAATTGTTATTTTCAAAATATGCGCGTGATTTAACTATCAACATGTCATCTAAGTTATGTTTAACTTGATTATAATAGATAAGTCTGAGATTAAGTGAAACTAGTCAAATATAATTACTTGTTTCTCATTTTGTTTTTCTCCAAGGAAAAAGTAGTAATCTCTTCATTAGCCTAAATCAATATGACTTTACTTTCATAATTTAACGGGCAAAATGTTCGTACTCGACGAACCTTTTTTATATATAATCATAATAAAAGCTTTCCGGTTTTCTTAATAGCATTTTTTTTTTGATAATATAATCGACTATTATATTCTAAGAACAACAAAGTACATTACCTTATTAAGACCACAATCACAATCTTCACCAATTTCTACAATGCCATTACCACAAATCGGCATTTTAGATCGACGTACCATTCTCTTTACTAAAAAAAAGAAAAACATGTATTATCTACATATGTCCAATTAGCTGGTTGTGAACAAAAGAAAGCATGTAATTGTATGTTTGCCTATCCGACTAGTTCTCCTATGACTATTACAACAGGATGATGATGATGGTAGTGCTAGTTACTACTGGTCAGTTTTAATTTACTTTGTTGAATGTCACGCAACTCGTAACATCTCGTGCATACATGCTTCTTCTAATATTCTTTTGTCTGTTCCATTCATACAAAGCAGAAAGATGAATGAATGTATGAATGAATTTCGAAGTAGGATTCACCCTAACATGTCATAATACTAAGAAATGACGTAATACACTCAAGATTTTCATTCGGAAGCGAGAACAGATGAGAGCAAAAGCTCAACGAATAGATTCATGCATGCATATAAAGCAACGGTCAGTAAATGGCCTCCAGGACAGATGAATTTCCGTTAGAGAAAATTGTTGCTTACTACTTTAAAACAATGCCATCATCTAAATCGTCTTCTCATATGTAAAAAAAAAACACTTATTTTAAGTTCTAGACAAACTAATTCATTTGAATTCATAAGAAAAAGACAATTTATCACATCTCTCTCCTTTTTTTCCCTATGAACATGTGTCATAAAAAAGAAAAGTGCTACCGATAAGAGTCTGTGTCTACCGCGTTCTTTTTTTTTCTCTTCTTCTTTTCCCTTACTGTCCACTCAATGATCTGTACACTTGAAAACTAGAAAATAGTCTGATCTCATTTTTTTTATGCTGTGAAAATGACCATGAACAAACAGCGAGCACGATGACTATTTGCGCGTCATCGAACAACCCAACCTCATTTATTAATCTCTTTTGCTCTGTCTCTATCTGTCTCTCTTTTTTACTGAATAAGAGCCCTGCAGGAGATCGTCATCACTATACATATATTCTGATTTCCGTTGTTGAATAGTAGCGGATCCGGATGACCTTCTGTTTGTCTATTTCACTTTTTCTCTTCTTTTCCTCTCATCATCATTGACAAGCCTCACTAACTTCATTATAATCGATATTGATAAGCTACTAGACGGACTAACTAATCTGTTTCACACGTCCTCATTCTTCTCTTTCAGATGTCAACTTAAAATAGAAAAAAGAAGACGCACATGCGTTTATATCTTGTTCAATGATAGAGGATTGATTAGATGTCTAGCGTAGGCGGCCTATAATTTAGAAAACAATATACCGGAAAACATATAGCTTGTGGTCAGTGCTGTTAAAGAAGAGAAAAAAAAGGAGAACAGACGTGTATGCACGCAAAGAGAAAAAAAATGAAACAAACGCCCCACGGCTTTGTCCGACACCTGCTCGTGCTATATACGGTGTAACAAACATGCAGGATGATCGAATTTTCATCATCATCATCATCATTTGACACGCAACCACGATAAGGGCAGACAGACCACCACTGAGACATCTACTATCCCAAAAAACGTCTGATCATTTTTTTTTGTAGTAGATAAAAAAAGAAGAAGAGAAAAGATTGAAAATGATGAACAATTTCAATATATATATAGAGAGAATAATGTTGAGCTATAAATTTCCATACTAACCTCTTTTTTTTCTTGTTTTAAAAATTATTGATTTTCCTTATAAAACTTTAGTGACGTTTATTTTCTCAGGATCAATATCAAATAAAATATGTAACAAGAACAAAAAAAAATACATTCTTTTTTTTTTCTTAATTACGATCTGACACTAATTGACTTTCGAAGATGCCATGGACTTGTATCATCGGATGTGGCTTCTGATTTAGAAATAGTTGTATTTTTAATACATTCATTTCGGGATATACGACGAGAATTATGCACAGAATTTAGATTTATTAAATGATATTGATTATCGTTGAATGTTCGATGCTTTTTTATTGATGATGATTTAACTGTTGAATGACGACCACTTTTATTCCAACTATTATATCGTTTTCTACGATTTTGATCTGCTGTCGAAGATGATATTCGATAAAAATTTGTCGATCGTTTATGTTGTTTTATACTTTGACATTTTAAAATTGATTTAAATGCTCTAAAAATTTTAAAAAAAACAAAAACAAAACTGAAGATTCTTTTTTCATTTATCTTTTATTTACCGTCGAAATTCTCGACTAGAGAATGCATATATAAATGGATTAAAACATGAATTACAATAACCTAACCAAAAACAAATTGAAAAAAATACACCCGGATCAGTGGATGTCAATGCCTCTAGACAATAAAAAGAAATAGAAATCAAACACATTATTATTCAATCGAAGATAATCTAATAAGATGTTAAACGAACGAAAATAATTATGATTGAATAAAAAACTCAACTAGATTGACTTTTTTTCTCTAAAAAAACAAAACTTACTAATGGGTAATAGAAGAAAAAATGGTGACCAACATAATATAAACATTCCAACAACAATTCCTAATGTTTTTGCTAAAATATAAAAGAAAATTATTTTTATTTTTTTCTATTTTGAAATTTACCAGCTTTTCGTTCTCGTTTCATTCTTGAAAATTTACTTGTACCAGATGATGATATTTGTGTTGCTAAGGTTTTTCCATGAGATGTTGATTGTTCTAAATGACCATTTGATATTGTTGATGATGATGATATTTGTCTTGGTAAATGTATACGTAATGTAACAGTTTCTTGTCCAAGCATTTGTTTTAAATGAACTTCTTTTTTTCCACCAGTTAAAAATTGATATTGTCGATTAGCTTCGCTATAGATTCGTCCATAAACACAAAGAATAATAATAAGTGGTATATAAAATGAAAATGAACATGAAAATAAAACATAAAATAACTCATCATTAACTTCACAAGCATGATCAATTGATTTAACTTTATTATGCCAACCTAAAAATGGTACTATTGATACAAGAGCAGCAACTATCCATGCAATAAGTATAGCATATATTGTACGACGATGTGTAATTATAATTGGATAACGTAGTGGACGTGTTACACCAATATAACGTTCAATAGATATAAACATTAAACCATAAATACTTGCTGTACAATAGAGAACATCAATAGCTAACCATATATGACAAAATGTTCGACCAAATAGCCATCGACCATTAAGAACTTCGAGTGTACCAGAAAATGGTAAAACTGTTATACCTAAAAATAACATACATTTTTATTAATCTTTTTTAAAAAAAAAAATTCTAATATACTCAATCATTTAGGTATTTTTAAAACATTTAAAGATATATAGAATATTAAAAACATATACATATTTATAATACATTTAATTGCTAATGAAATTGAATATAAAATCAAAAAATGATAAGTAATTTTTAGACATGACATTAAAATGAATGACTGTAAGATGTTTTTTCTCTTATTATCATCTGTGCATACACAGTTTGTGTCATATGTTATTTGTGTTAGAATGACATCAATTTATTTCTAGTAATATTAAACAGATGGTCTTTGAAAGACAAAAAATGATTGTAATATTTCATATAAATCATTTATCTTTTAATGTATCAAAAGAATAAAGCGAAAAAAATTTTCTTAGAAATCTTTTATTAATATATAAAAGTTTAAAAATCATTTGATGTACACATCTAATTCAGCAACGGAACCATTGAAAGCCTATACTCGGAAGTAATTTTCATTTAGAAATTCCGGTAGGAAAATTTTTTGAAATTTTTGACCGATTAAACCATCAGTTCATCTGATTATTATCTTACATCGATTACATTTTTTTTTTCAATATAATTTAATCAATATATATATCAATGATCGTAAACAGCTTACCACATGCTAAGAATATGTTAATATATTTATCTATAATTATTATATCCTGTTGAATAATTGAGAAGAAAAAAAAACATATAAATACAATTTTATGCTTTTTATATTAACAAAAAAAACCTATTTTATTCATTATTATTTTTACTCATGTTATTAATTTTTTATTAATTTTTTACAGATTGAGGTAAAAAAAACTGAATCGGTTTATTTACATATGCACTCAAGAAATTATTATTATCTTTATAAACGAGTTTTTATTTCTATGAAGTATTATTATTTAAGAACTCAAATGAAAAATATAATTACCTAGTAAAAGATCAGCACATGCCAAATTACCCATTAATAAATGAGTTGGTGAACGAAGAGCAAAATCAATACCTATTGCAATTAAAACGAGTATATTACCAAGTATAGTTAAAAGTATAATAATTGATAAACAAAACGCAATTAAAATAGTAAAAATTAATGGTCGTGATTGTTCATTAATATTAATGTCTTGTATCAATGATGTTAATGTTTCATTTGAATTATTGTTTATTGTCCATGAGACACTATCATGAAATTGAGGTAAAACGTACATGTGAATAATACATATGGCAAAATAAGAAGAAAACTAAAACTTAGTAGAAGACGAATAGAAAACTTTGATTCTTTTACATTGTCATAAATAATAGCTGCAATAATGTTCGTATTTAAAAAAATCAGTAGAACGATGGTTCTTAAGAAAATTGTGAATATAACGAAATTATTGTCGAGGGAACATCTAAACCAAAAATCGACTCTAAATAGAAAGAATGATTTAGCTAAAAGAAAATATGTCAACAGAGAAAAATTTTCTTCTTGTTTTCCTGCATTCATATTAGACTATTATTTATCTATATCTATATATCTATATATATAGATATATATTTATTTAATACGATCATGAAATCAACAAATCAGCTTCCATATAATACAAAATATAAATGATTTCTATTTTCTAGTGTATATTATCTAATGATATCTATTCATGAAAAGTATCGTATACAAGATGCCGACAAAATCTATCGATATCTATAAATATATATAGAAATAGAAAACATATTCAACTAGCATAATACGAACAGCATAGTATTAGAAAATTGATGAAACATCCATGGCTAGAAGTGATCGGAAACTAGATGTTGACGGATGCCGGCATCATTTTTTTCCTCTCTCTCTGTCTCTTTTCATTTATTTTGGCCTCCGACTTACTTCTTAAATGATCATGTTTTCTCTTATAGATGAGTATTGAGACGAATGAATCCAATGAAAGAAGAAAGTGTCAAAATATGGAGTTGAGACAAGAATATTGATGTTCTACTGCTACTACTAAAAATAATGCATAAGCGAAAAAAAAACCATCAGACAAGTCGAGAAAGACAAGTCTACTAGACTTATCAAGATAATTTTTGGAACTTAATCTTGCTCGTTATCACTCGAGTGAAGAATCCAATGAACAAATCAATACATAATTACATTACGATCTTATAGAAAACGACGAAAACATGGAAGTTAAAACCAACAAAACAAAAATAATAAGCTGATGACAAAAAACAATCTCTAACCCCAACATCATATTATGAATATTGTGTGAACATTAATTATTACAGTCAATATTCTATCTCATTTTTCTACATGTTGTTGGTCTATTTAATTTGTTCGTAAGATCTGATGCTTTCATGATAATAAATTCTCTGTTTTTTCTCTATTATTTACCTACATTTCTATTTTCATTTATTCACAGATGCACGACATATATTTGAAAGACTTGTCATATATCTTCTCTTCGTTCTATCTATTTCATTATCCTTTCTATACCACAAATAAATAAGTAAAACCTTTCTGAAACATTTTGTTTCTCTCAATTCTTCTTCTTTTTTCTTTCTTCTATTAAAAAATTTATTTTTATAGCATATTAAATAAAGACAGCTATAGTGCAACATACGAAAAAAATTACTATAAAAAAAAACCATTGACACAAAAAGAATTAGATAAAAGTTCTTCTCAACCATGGGTGTCAGTCATTCACATGTCAAACATAACTTATACATATGTATATTATTCAAGTGGGACCAATCGACGAAATACTCGAGAGACTTTTCGAATTACAAGTTTAAATCGAATAAATAAATATTTTTTTTTCCTCAGTGTAAATTGACAAATAAACAATAGACTGTGACATGATGAGAAAATCTATATGTCTAATTAGAACTTTTTTTCTTATGGTAATATTTATAGAAATGTAAATAGAAGAATTTTTTATTTATATTCGATCTATTCTAAATAATCAAAAATGAATCTACGTAAATGAATATGATAAAAAAAAAAGAACAACCACAGATCTTGACAAACGAATCGATATGTCTATTGTCTTTAAAGTGCTGTCTATTTAACAACGACAATTGTTAAGGAAAAAAAATGACATATATATCCTATGTGTGTGTGGGTTCATCTATCGTTTTCTTTTTTGATTATATTGAACATCGTTCGTTCCATCTGATCATCATTATCAGCACCATTAACGACATTCTTATAAGCGTTACCAGGAACAAGAAGAAAAAAAAAGACAAACGATCAGAAGAAAAACTGTTATGCTGCTGTTATTAATTTTATATATGACGACGAACAAAAATAAGACAAGAAGCATGATGAAAATGAAAAAATAACATGAAAAAAGAATAAATGTGTCATGATTGATCGTAATTAAGATATGTCACTCGAGATTATTTACACGAGAAAAACATAGCTACTTGATGCTCATACACCGTAAAAATATATTAATTGACAGCGAGAAGTTTTCTCTTCCTATTTATTCCCAATTGATTACTACATGTCCTCTTGGTTTTCTTACTGATCATTACACATAAAAATATATAGAGCAGAAAAAATTCTTTTTGTAGACAATAAACCCTACAATCACTAAAATCTAGTCATAAATACTAATGAAAAAGTGTAGAAGAAAAAACAAGGTACGTGTTGGTAAATTCTATCGAATAATTTCAAAAAAAAAGAAAACATTTAATAGAACTCTTATATAGAAATAATATGCTCTATTTAACAACATGGGTATCGTGTTTTCATCAAAGACAAGAACTGAATATTTAAAGAAATATAATTACATCAATTGTTTTCAGTGTCTGTTCCATGTTATTTTGCTTTACTAGTAATCCTTCAAGAAAGACAATTAAGCAGAACAACAAAGATGTTTCGAAATAGACTATTATAATAAACATTACAAACAATACATTATTTCGATTCTCATAAAATACTTTTGATTATTCAAAAAAAAAAACAAATCTGTCGTTACGAACTAATAAGAAAAGATTCTATTTATGCTAAAAATGTGTAAGAATTAGTTAAGTCAGAATACATACATTTTTAAGTTCTATTTATATCAAATAAAAATTAGAAGATGTCTATAAGATTTTTCTGTGAAGAAGGAAAAACAACTGAATTACAGCTATTCTCGATCTTAGGTTCTCTTGTTCAGCTAATTATCAAATAAGAAAAAAATACGTGCTGAAGACAAGAAATTTTTTTTTTGTATGCATTCAACTATACACTAAATGGTCGAGAGTAGTATTTCATTTTGTTTTATATTAAAGAAAAACATATACAAAGAGAACACTCATATTATAATATTTTTTTTTCTGAATGAGCAATAAAATTCTCAAAAACTTATTTTCATATCTATAAATGGAATTTTTGAGAGCCATAAAAGAAATTACCTTTAGTAATCTATTTGAGTACAACGACATATGTTATTATTGCGATGAAAAAAAAAATATTCATGAAATAATTCATATATTTCTAACAAAAGAATTTAATTATCAACGCATCGTTTTATTCGATAATTTAATACATCAAAAATAATAATCCTGTATATATTCTTTTTGTGCATAATACAAAGTTACTAGGCGATTGTGTATATATATATATATGTGTGTTATTTACACTCATATGATAATAGCTTAGATTGTCTAGTACTATGTTCGTATGTTGTCATGACGATATATTAAAAAAATCTGTAAATAGATGATTGGATAGACACAAAGACAATATACGCAGTCGGTAACAAAGGCATGTGTTTTTTTGTGTGTAAACAGCAGTTTTTATTTTGACATATATATTCTGCAGAAGTGAAGTCAATTAGTATATTCTGTTGGTCTCGACACAATTATGTTGACGAGCTTTTATGCTTCGACCTAAGTCAAGTTGGCATAAGAATTTTATTTCACAGAAGAAAAATAACATAGACTTGATGTCAAGATTTGATTAAGTAGTATTGTCATCGAAGAATATAAGAAGAAAAGATCATTATTTTACATGTCAATAAAACCTATTCTATTATTTTTCTATTTCTATTCTATGCACTTTAATTTATATTAGTAATAATATATGTATATATAAGAAAGAACAAATAAAATAAATTTGTGTAGATATATCCTACTTAGACTTCTTTCGGAAATGGATCATATTGAGTACTTTATACTTTTATGTAAAGATGAAAGTAGAAGAAAAAAAAGAAGGAAGTATTGTAAGAACTATTGATCAATAAAAGTAGATACGTATTAATGTCATACTAACGTATCGTTATCTGTTTAATGGATTCGAAAAAACAATATAGAGCATTAAAGATAAATAATTCGAAGAACTAAATGTAAAATAATTGAATAGAATATTTATATTTTGACGATGAAACAGCAATCCAATCAAAAAAAAAGACAAAGGAAATGCTTCAATGTGACAGAAATTTACTTAGGAAATTGAGCAGGCTTCATTCAAAGGTTTTCTTTTTGAAAGGATACATGTGTTGAAATGCATTAGTCTTTTTGACCTCATTTATATTCAATCAAAATTTCAAGAGATAAAAATAAAAAAACTCTCGAACTCTAAGTTTGAGGTCAAGGATATTTAGTCTTGTCGAAACGTTTCGATCTATTTAAGATTACATTGTTCTATCTAAAATATAATTCTGTTTTCATATCAGTATTTACTAAATTTATTGGTTAGTTTTGACCTTTGACATATTTTAAATAGAAATAAAAACAAAAACAAAAAGATGACTATGTGATTTAATCTTGTTATTCATGCATGCATTAAAGTACATATACAATAGTTGACAGATCAAATTTTCATTAAAGTACTAAAATAATATTTAATTGTTGTTATTCAAGAAGAAAAAGAATGAGATATATTTAATTATTAGTGTTTACAACATGTTACTCAACTAAACATGTCATATTTTTGCATCAAGAAAATACAATGTGATTTAGCCTTTCGAGTTACATTCCTATAATCACATTCTCTAAAGCAATCAAAATACGACAAATAATATATTGGAGTCTGATCTATAAATGAAACATTAATTTTAATATCTCTTGAAATCTTGACAAAAAAAAAAGACATTCGTTAGTCTCTGTTTAATTTATACAAGGATTCATAGCTTCATTTTTCTTTTCTTATATAATCGAAATTGGTTAATAATACACTGATTTTCTCATAATATCATCATTCATTTTATTCTTCATATTGTCTATATGAAAGTAGATGGAATGT